GTGTGAATGGCTAGTCGAGTGAAGGTGTGTGTGTGTCGGGGGGGTGGCTGGTGTGCGTGTGTGTGAATGAATCGGTATGGGGAACTTCGGGATGAAGTTGGCAGAACACTGCTGGGTGGATACGCCTGGGTTGAAGCCTGACGGCTGTGGAGGAGCTCCCCACTTAGCTATTTTTTTCTTTCTCTTGCAGAGCCCGAGGCTTCCTCTTTCCCAGGGGGATGTGAGGGACCAGAAGGCAGGCGTCCTCCTGGAGCTGAACCAGGCTGTTGTCTCCGCTGAGGATATACAAGTTTAGCCTCTTTTCCAAAACCAATAAAAGTATTTTTCCTGAATGGCTTTGTTGTCTTGTTTGTCAGGGGCTCTCACGGGATGATCTTCCCCATCCCCTCATTACATCTGGGACCCAATGCCTGGGGTGGATCTTGGTGAAGTCCTGGTGTGGGCCTTGTGCTGTCACAGGAATTGTGAGCATATTATTTCACCATGCATGTGTGAGGGAGTGAGGTAGGCATGGTGGGTTCCCTGCCTGAGCAAGTATATTATGCATTGTGTTGGACATACACAGGAAGCCAGTGAGCCCTGGTGCCATTCGGAGAGGGTTGAAGTTGGGTACTCAAAACACTCTGGCCACCCTGTAACAATAAACATGACTCATTCTTTCCCTTCCACCACTGCTCCTCCCATTTGTTTGCCTGGCCTGGAGATTCAGGGGAGCCCAGCCATTTCCTGCCACAGGAGCTCATTCTCTGAGGCCTGGCAAGCCTCATCTTCATCATCAACACCATGAGCACTTCATGGACAGTGCCTTGCGGAGTACAAGTAGGGAGAAAATATGCCACTTCAAAGAAGTTTACAGTCCAGCTTCTCACGCCCGTGCCACAACCGAGGAAATGGAGATGGGCAATGATTGGAGATGAGCGTACAGTATATAATTCATGTGGATCCATGCCATGGATAGATGGCAAAAATACACAGGTAAGGCAAAATCTGCTTGAGGGCAGTGGCTTCTTCTGAGCACCTAGTGCAGTGATGGTGAACCTTTTTGAGCCCAAGTTCCCAAACTGCAACACAAAATCAACTTATTTATTTCAAAGTGCCAATACTGCAATTAAAACCCAAATGCTGAGGTTTTAGTTTAGAAAAAATGCTCTTGCACTGCAAGGATTAAATGCTTGTTCCCCCCCCCCCCCCCATGGGCGGTATTAACAAATAAAATACTTATTGGTCCTCCAATCCCCCATTGGGCTAGACCGGTAATGGTCGCCAATGCACCCCTCTGCTGGACCACTGCACCAGCAGACGGAAGTGCCGAAATCCGGGATCGAAGAACAGGTAAGTATTTTTCTATGGCGACTTATGGCTCGTGTGCCCACAGAGAGGGCTCTGTGTGCCAGCTGTGGCAAGTGTGCCATAGGTTCATCATCACTGGCCTAGACTATAAGATTGCCAAAACCCTGAAACTGAGCTGCAGCACAGTGGCAAAGACCATATAGCAGTTTAACAGGACAGGTTCCATGCAGAACAGGCCTTGCCATAGTCAAAAAAGTTGAGTGCCTGTGCTCAGCATCATATCCAGAGGTTGGCTTTGGGAAATAGACGGATGAGTGCTTGCCAGCATTGCTGCAGAGATTGAAGGGGTTGGGTGGGTGGGGGTCAGCCTGTCAGTGCTCAGACCATATGCCACACACTGCATCAAATTGGTCTCCAGTGCTGTCATTGTAGAAGGAAGCCTCTTCTAAGGATGATGCACAAGAAAGCCCGCATACGGTTTGCTGCAGACAAGCAGACTAAGGACATGGATTTCTGGAACCATGTCCAGTGGTCCAATGAGACCAAGATAAATTTATGTGGTTCAGATGGTGTCAAGTGTGTGTGACGGTAACCAGGTGAGGAGTACAAAGACAAGTGTGTCATACCTACAGTCAAGCATGGTGGTGGGAGTGTCATGGTCCGGGGCTGCATGAGCGCTGCCAGCACTGGAGAGCTACAGTTCATTAAGGGAACCATGAATGGCAACATGTACTGTGACATACTGAAGCAGAGCATGATCCCCTCCTTTCAGAGACTGGGCTGCAGGGCAGTATTCCAACATGATAATGACCCCAAACACACCTCCTGTCTTGCTAAAGTATCTGAGGGTGAAGGTGATGAACTGGCCAAGCATGTCTCCAGATCTAAACCCTATTGAGCATCTGTGGGGCATCCTGAAATAGAAGGTGGAGGTGCGCAAGGTCTCTTAACATCCACCAGCTCTGTGATGTCCTCATGGAGGAGTGGAAGAGGACTCCAGTGGCAACCGGTGAAGCTCTGATGAACTCTATGCCCAAGTGGGTTAAGGCAGTGCTGGAAAATAATGGTGGCCACACAAAATATTGACACTTTGTGCCCAATTTGGACATTGTCACTAAGGGGTGTACTGAATTTTATTGCCAGTGGTTTAGACATTAATGGCAGTGTGTTGCATTATTTTAAGGGGACAGCACATTTACCCTGTTATGTAAGCTGTATACTCATTGCTTTACATTGTAGCCAAGTGTCATTTCTTCAGTGTTATCACATGAAAAGATATACTAAAATATTTATGAAATGTGAGGGGATGTTCTCCTGTGATATACTGTATGCCATTTTGCTGCCAGTGGGTGCCATAATTTGTCTTCTTTGTTCACTGTACATTTTCTTTTTCCAGTGTTGCATCAACTGCCACCCTAAATACACTCATGGCATAGCCTTCTGAGCTGTGCCATGTCTATATTTCACTCCTGGCTCAAATCAAGAGATAGATGAAAGGCTGGCTGGAGAAACAGGCTCTGCAAAGAACTGGCAATGATTCAGTGACACCCAGTATCACCAAAACAATTTGCTAACCGACTAATGATCCTGTGGAAGAAGCAACCTTTTTTAAAAAAAAAGTTATTCCCATTTTACACAGGGTAGCACAGGTGCACCTAAGATGAAAGCGCACAAAAAATGTAAGTGAACAGGTAAGTCTGCTTCTGGTGATGTAGCACTTTGCAACACTCAGTCTATAACATCTGCAACACATTATGGCACAAAGGTTGCACAAATTCTGGCATGGGTTTGATGGGGGTCATGATGTTGGGAGTTAGATTGGGGATTTGTAGTTAATATACTTGCTAAGGCTCCACAGTGTTTGCTCTTAAGACAAGCTTTGTTAAGAATAATCTTAGTAATTTTAGCATTTTCTTATTTATTTATTTATTTATTTATGCAGCGTACAACAATATTAAAACTTTAAAAACATTAAAACCATTTAAAATAGGCACTATTATAATAGCCTATACAGTATTAAAAATAGTCATTAAAACATTAATATTAATAAATAGGGTTTTGTGTGTGTGACAAGTATTTCAACCATATTGATCATAGTGTGTTGTATGTTGTTGTTTAGTTGTTAAGTCATGTCCAACTCTTCGTGACCCCATGGACCAGAGCACACCTGTCTTCCACTGCCTCCCGGAGTTGGGTCAAATTCATGTTGGTAGCTTCAGTGACACATCATACTGTGACAGATTATTTATTTAGACAAGCAGATGCAAAAACACACTGGCACATAAGTAAAATTCATCATGACCTGCCACCCAACCTTGAGCCCTTCCCCGTTAAACACAATTCCTTGTTCTTAGCAAATGATATTCAGCTTTGGGTCCGAAATTCAGATTTTTTTTGCTCTCCCTGCCCCATTCCCCCAACTGTTAAAGACTGTTCTTGGACCTTGTTCTGTAGGTAAATTGCTAGTTTAGGAAAACAGCCCATAACCATTGGCTCCCGTTTAGAAAATCTAGAGAGGTTATTCAGCCAGTGATCAGACTAACAAATCCTGGTCATGCAGCAACATTAAGAAATAATTATAATATCTTACAAAACTCAAAGGAATAATTATTTATATCTATCATAATTTGAGTACAAGAATACTAATTATTCCTGTATTCAACAGACCACACCAAAGTGGTGGTGATGGTGGGAACTCTATGGTGGACTGTTTCCTGTTTCCTCAACCACTTCTCAATCCATAAGAGGACCAGCCCTCTTATCCCCAAGGATGAACGTTGTCCAACACAGTATAGATAAAAGCATTTGTCTTTCCAGACTGATATTTTCTACAATGGCAACAAGCCGTCCAGGGTCTCAAGGCAGAGGTCTTTGACATCACATCATCTGCTACCTAAACCTTTCAACAGGAGATCAGAAAGCAAGAAAGAAGCCCCGAGAGAAGGGAGGAATGATATATTGCTGCAAAACTTAGCTCTATGAGATAAAATATTGATCCGTATTAATTTATACTGCTTTGGCATCCCAAAGCAACGCTGCTGAAAAGTGAAGGTTATTGATTCAAGAAGATGATGATAAACTACATTTCATCTGCTGTGGGGGGGGGATGATATCACTCCAAAAAGTCATTGGATTTTAGATTCTGACCCCATTTGTGGATTTCATAGCAGAGAGCAGAACTACTTCCCTTTAAGGTGAGGGTTGAATTTTAATCTTCTTCCAGCTGCAGCTGGGCTGTTAATATTCTTCTCGCTCCGAGCTAGTTTATGCCAATATTTGCCATGGTTTCAGTTCTCTTCCATCTCAGTGGATAACTGATTTATACAGAGCTTTTCTTTGTGCCAGTGCTGGTTGTGTCCCACGTCCATTTTCACAGGTTCCATATTCTTCTCTGAAAGGTGGTGCTTCCTTCTGCCTTCTAAAAAGTTAAAAAAGCAGAGTCAAGGATTCACACACAATTTAGGATCCTGTACAGAGAGTGACGAAACCCAGCCAGTGCTCTTTATGCACTTGTAGCCCATTGAATTTCAAAATACATACAGCTTCTCTTTAGCAGCATGTTTCTTTTTGGGGTGTGTGTGGCTATTTGTGTGTGCTTGCTTCTGAAGTGATCAGCATCTCCCTTATCCCTTTGAGCTGCAATAGTGCTGGAAATGCAAGTTGGAACAGGGAAGGTAATCACAGTGCAAGGAAAGGATTGCCCCATCACTGCGCTAATACAGCAGGTGAAAAAAAAAACATGTTCACTGCAACTTTCCAAAACTTATAGCTCCGTGGTTTAGATATCTGGCTATATGTTTAGAGTTTTATTCCCCCAGTGATCCTCCTTGACAAGGGCTAGACTTGATGCCCCATAGGATCCCTTCTAGCTCTGTAAGGTAAAGGTAAAGCTTCCCCTTGACATTTAGTCCAGTCATGTCCGACTCTAGGGGGTGGTGCTCATCCCCGTCTCCAAGCCGTAGAGCCAGCGTTTGTTCATAGACAGTTTCCATAGTCACGTGGCCAGCACGACTAGACATGGAACTAGCTCTGTAGTTCTAAGCTTATTATTTAAAAATACCAGGCACATTCCATCAAAATTATTTAAAAAATTGACTGGTATATAACAGATACAAGTTTTAACTAAAAAACCTAAGTTTGTGTCAAATATTGGCACAGTATGTATGCTGTTCCTAGTACTGTATTGTCTTTTTTTATAGCTATGATAGTGTAATGTCTGCGATGTGCAACTGCATATAATACTGTGTGAAATTTCTTGCCATTGTTCCCAAAGCCCCAATGACTACAGGGACCACTGTTTCATCCACAAGCATGATCTTTTGATTGACATATCTCTGTATTTTGCTAGCTTTTCCAACTCTTTATTTTTGACTCTGGCATCTCCTGGATTGCAATATCAATGATCCAGACATTAGTTAGTTCTGTTATTACTGTGTCTAGTGTGTTATGACCAAGATGTCTGTCAGTTTGGATCTGCTCACCAAATCCACTCCAACTTATTCAGGGATTTCTAGATAGAAAGCACTCAGAAGTGGTTTACTATTCCCTCCTTCTGGGGGCTTTCTGTGACTGTGCAGCTTGCTCAAGGCCACATAGGATGGCTCTTCTCCCTGGAGGCACAGTGGGGACCTGAGCTCCCAACCTTTGGCTCTACAGCCAGATAAGTAACTCACTGAGCTATCTAGCCACCTATATATATACATGGCATGAGAGGGGTTTTTAACCCTTTGTCTTTGCCATGGTCATGGTTGAATTCACTTGATGTGCCTTCTGTTTGCATCAGAATTTCACAATGGGTTCTTATCAGGATTGCAATAAGTAGGTGGAAAAGTTACCTTTCTGGTCTAGAAGTCCTAGAATCCTTCAGCTGGCTTGACTGTTGGACATGTTGGCCCAGAGTATCTGAGAACTGTAATCCTCTCCCCTCTCCCAGATTTCCTAAGCTATAACATAAGCCAACATATATTAATTGAGTGCACAGTAAATATCAGTGTTTATTCAATCAGGACAATAAACCCATGGCAGCTAAGAAAAACATAGTAATCAAAAGGCTCACTTCCTTTCTACTTCTTTGTCAGGGAGTTCCCCAGTTTCACAATATACAACTTGCAAGGTTATTTCTTCTCCACCAACTTCTGATTCCCATCACATGTCTTGCTTCATCACTTCTGTACCTCTGCCTACACATTCAGAGAATTCTCCTTCTGTACTTTAAAAAAAGTGTATTTCCTTATATACTTGTCAAGGTTTCATCTATTTAAACCTGTCACTTCCTGCACAATCTCTTTTTCTTACAATGCAACCCTATAACGCTCATTATTCTGGACATGGGATGGACTGGAAACACAAGTAGCCTAATCAGCCTTCGCCATTCTGGTGAGCGGTCATTCATTTCTATGTAAATTAGAGCAATTATTTTACATGTTTATCTCTAGCTATAAATTAGCACACAAAAATTGTATGCTAACCTGTGTCCTCTTCTCTCTGTCTCCTCGAGACGGAACCTGGCTGTCCTAAGTAGCAGCCTTCCGGCCAGATGCTTTGTCCTATTTCTGGATACTTTCTTCCTTTTGAGACTTCCATCTACTCTGTTTCTATCAGTATGGATGGGTACAACCCAGTCCATGATTGTTATAGGTTCCTTCCTCCATGGTTGCCACACTAAATCTCTCTCCTGAGAGCTTCATGTTCACTTTGAGGCCTCACAGACCAATGGAAAGTATCAGCATTTGGAAAATTGTCTCTCAAGTTCTGACTCTTCCCCATTAGTCATTTCAGTCCTTTTCTAAACTGAATTAATTGATATTTGTTTGTACAATGCTTGTTCCTTTTTATGGGTGGAACCCTAGGTATGATAAGCCAATTAATACTTGAAAAGTTAAGTGAAAATGCCTAAAAATGCCTAGATGTGAAATATTAATCTGCAATAGAGTCAAAATATCGTATTTTTCTTCAGAGTATGAATGTCCTAAGGAATATAGTCCTAAATTCTATGCATTATGCCCACTGGAATGACATCATTGGCATAACTTTCAATAGCAAACTGCTGCAAGTTAGGAGGTTAGCACAGGCATTTCTGAATGCACACCAGGATTATGATTCAATCTGTAACAGGAGATGCTTACACCGACTACTTAATTTATGACATTTGGCAGCTGAGGTTTATACTGTGGTTTCCTTTAGGGAGTCAATCCATCTTATATTTACTCTTAATCTTCTCCTGCTGCCTTCAGTTTTTCCTCAGCATTATTCTTTTTTTTTTCAAAGAATGTCACCTTCTCATGATGTGTTCAAGGCATGACAGCCTCAGTTTCAACATTTTTGCTTCCAGAGACAATTCAGCCTCAGTTGACCATGCTAGGAGTCCGGGGGGCTTGCAATGGAGTCTAGACCCAGACAGCCTTGCTCTGAGCTTCCCTGACACGCTCAAACTCCCTCGCCATTTTCAAGTGTACATTCAAGAAGTGGGGCCTGGCCCTACCAATAGACAAAGTGAGAGAACAGCCTCAGGCAACTAATTTTATTTTTTATGATTAGGGAGTTAATTTTTAGTAGTTTAGTAATACTGTAATACCTTGTTTTTAGTCCCTCAGAATGATACGTTAGGGATTTTCTGACTCAGGTGGCAGAATAACATGGCCACCCCAATTACTGTGCAGTTTGCCTCGGGCTAAGACAGGAGGTGTGCCATTTCGTGTTCTGGCTCAGATCACAAAGAGTCTTGAACTGGGCAAACAGGAATGAGTAAGCAAAGTCTTTGCTTCCTTAGATCCATGAAAACAAGGAGCCTTGCTCTGCCACACAGCTAGGTAGCTATTTGTTTGTCATCTATAATATGTCTTTCACCTTTTTCCAAACCTTTCTCAAGAGGCAGGAAGCATGCCAGAGATCTTAAGTCAACTTCCTTGGTGCTGTTTCAAATGAGAGAGTTTAATTCTGCCACACACCCCTGGACATAATGAACACCATCACGTGTCATCTCTTCATTTTCAGCAGTGTACATGTCATTCCATTGCAATTATTTTACAAGATCTGAGTCACAGTTAACAAATAGAATAAAATGTGTAGCCTTGCAGTTTCTTGTTTTAGTTGTCAGTTAGAAGGTTTGGAAACTGTAGGTAGAAACATTTGCAGATTGCTTCTCTTTACGGAAATATGTACAGACATTTAAATCCAGTGTACAAATAAATGAATATGCATGTAAACAGATCCATGCATTGTTTCTTATATGCATCTATAGGTAATTGAAGAAGTCCTTTGAATATCAACAGGCAATAGTGGAAAATAGGGCTTTTAAAAGGCAATAAATGCAACTTCTGAACATTCCAAGATGTGTCTCCTCTCTATGTGGGTTTCAGACTGAGTTTCCATGGCTGAGCCAGGATTTGGACTCAATCTCCTGAGTCTGAGTCCATCACTCTGTCCACTACATCAGTAGTCCCCAACCTTGGGCCTCCAGATGTTCTGGGACTTCAACTCCCAGAAATTCTGGCCAGCAGAAGTGGTAGTGAAGGCTTTTGGGAGTTGTAGTCCAAGAACATCTGGAGGCCCAAGGTTGGGGACCACTGCACTACATCACATTGGCTCTTTACTGAACCATGGAACTTTAAATCTGATCACTTCAAACAAGATTACTTTTCCTTAGGTAAAACATTAAAATCCTCTGAGTAATTGAAAGTCAACAAACTGAAGCTGAATCCAGAGAAGATGGAGGTGATGGTTACTTGGCAATTAACAAATCAAGTTATCACTTCTCTTATGGCTGGTGGAGTAAAATGTGTGTGTTGAACCAAGTAAAGAGTTTGGGTGTCTTATTAGACCCAGTTGTGCCTTCTGGAGAAACAGGTGGGAGTTGTGGCCAGGTCAGCATTTTATCCTCTGTCATTGGTATGGAAAGTTTCTCCTTACTCACACTGATCTATGCAAATGTAACATTGAGATTAGACTACTGTGATTCATTCCACATGGGGCTACCCTTGGAGACTACTTGGAAGATATAATTGGTACAACACACAGCAGCTAATTAACAGGTGCTTCCCATTGTGATCACAGGACACCTATTTTGCATCAGCTGCATTGGCTGCCAGTGGTTTTCCAGGTTTAATTCAAAGTGTTGGTTATTACCTCTAAAGCCCTACACAGCTTGGGACCTATATATCTACTAGGCTGTTTTGATCATGTAGAACTGTCTTTCTAAAGGTACCAGCCATCAAAATCACCTGGCTTGAATGTATGTGAAAAAAGACAATTCTGTGTTGATGCTTCTGAGCTGTAGAAGTCTCTTCCCAAGTCCTTGTGAAGTATGACATCCATGCAGGGATTAAAGAAGTGATGTGAAAGGCAGAATTGTTTCAATGAGCATTTGGAAGCTAGGAACCCCTATCCCACCATTCATGTGCTAACCTTTGTAAAACACCCTGCGTAGAGTTGGGAAAGGATCCTGAGTTATTTAACATGCAAAGAACATGCTGAACCCCTATCCCACCATTCATGCACTTTGTAAAACACCTTGCGTAGAGTTGGGAAAGGATCCTGAGTTATTTAACATGCAAAGAACATGCTCTACCCATGAGCTACAGCCATTGGGAGATAAGACAAGCTTCTTTTGTAAAACGTGCATGTGTGCGCCTCAGTATACACTGTTCTCGTCACCAAATGGGAATGAGATTCAGCACCCTGTCCCTCTCTGTGCCGTAGTCTATTCTGGACACTCACATGGTGAGCTTCAAAACAGAGGTCTTTGTTTTCCCTTGAACCCTTAAGTGGTGGCAAGTACCTCCTTGAATGAAATCCAACATTCGCCCAGAATTTATCTACTACATTTTTGGAGGGCTGCCCTGTGTATGTGTGTGTATGTGTGTTTGCAGAAACAGGATTTGCACCCTTGCCAGGATCAGTCATGTTTAGGTATCAAACAAACAGTGGTTGCATAAACCATTCTTGGTGTGTGTGTGTGTGTGTGTGTGTGTGTGTCTGTGTCTGTGTGTCTGTGTGTCTGTGTGTGCGTGCTTAGAAGGAAGAATAGCCCTGAAGATTAGTGCTATACTGTATTTCCCAATGGGAAATGAAAATGACAGAGAGATTGAGAGGTCCCAAAGGAAGAAGCTGAAAACTTTTATTCTGAGCAATACCTTGATCTCTGAGAAACAATGAGGCGTGTCTCTCTGTTGCTCTTGACATTGCCTCAGGTGAGTTTAGTTCACTGTTTGTTTGGCAGGCCACATGCTTAAATACGAGTGATCCTGGCAAGGCTGCAAGTATCAAATCCTATTTTTGCAAACTCTGCTCTTCAAAGTTATCCCATTTTCCTGATGACCTGTGTTTTTTAAAATTGGTTTTATTGGGAATGCAAGACATTGTGGACACTTAATTCAGAAGGGCAGAAATGTTATCTCTTTGTGTCCATGACATTCTTTGTACCCTGTAGTCTTCATAGAACTAAAAGCCTTCAATTAAATAGAACCTCCAAGGACCATGGCAGTATGCTTAAAGTCCAAGATTGAAATATTTACATTCTTAATCTTATGTTGCATGTGCTGTCGTCACCTGCAACATATGGTGACCCTGTGAACGAGAGATCTCCAAAATGTCCCATCCTCAACAGCCCTGCAAACTCAAGTCTGTGGCTTCCTTTTAGAGAGTCAGTCCATTTCATATTTGATCTTCCTCTTTTCCTGCTACTTTCAACCTTTCCCAGCATTATTGTCTTTTCCAGAGAATCCTGCCTTCTCATGATGTGCCTCACTTTCAAGATTTTTACCTGAAGAGATAATTCAGGCTTGACCTAGGACCTGTACATTTGTTTTTCTGGCAGTCCAAGATATCCACAAAGCTTTCCTCCAGTACCACAATTTGAATAAATCTTTTTTTTTCCTCTCAGCTTTCTCAGCTGTCCAGTTTTTACACCCATTCATGGTGACTGGAAATACAAGACTGTGGATGATCTTGGCCTTGGTCTCCGGTGACTCATCATTATACAGTACTTATTATAGGTGAAAACAAAAGAAAAAGAAAGAAAAAAAATGTGGTGGCACCTTCTAGACTAACTTTTTAATTTTTTAAGTGAACTTCCATGGACAAGTCCACTTCATCAGACATAACAGAGAGAGATATAACATGGCAAATATATATACATGGCATCAAAAAACAGAGATCGTGGCTGGTTGGTAAGGAAGTCAGTCGGTATTAAACTTTGTGATGATAGTGTCACTCATACTTAGGGATGTGGTCTATCAAACAAACAGTGAACTGAACTCACCTGAGGCAATGTCAAGAGCAACAGAGAGACACGCCTCATTGTTTCTCAGAGATCAAGGTATTGCTCAGAATAAAAGATTTGAGCTTCTTCCTTCGGGAGCCCTCAAACTCCCTTGTGTTGTCATTTGTCCTCCTTAGGAAACCAACAACAAAACCCAACTGATTACAGTAAAATATTCTTAATGTCTCATTTCCAAGATAACCTGATCTTGTCTTTCTCTACTCCTCCTTGCACCATTTTTCTTATCTGAAAAAAAAAAGGGTTAAGGGAGATAAAAGCAGGATGGGTGCACAGCATGTTTACACTGGTAATGCAACGATTCCTCTCTCTGAAGGCACCCAATGACTTGTCCAAATTTACTCAGAGAATGCTAGAGTGAACATATTTCCTACATCAAAGTCCAACTCTTTGGGGGGGTGGCTCTCAGGAAGGGTTTATGATCATGCCTGCAAACACTGGCTATGATGGCATTCTCAGATTGTAGTCATTGCATTCATGTCCTGCTTGTGGGCCTCCCTTCAGCAACTGGCTGGCTAATGTGTGAGCAGAATGCTTCCGACGGGTGGCCAAGGCTATGTGGCCTTTACTCTTTAAAGTCTGTCTTTAAGTTGTTCTTTGGAGTTGCTGTGAATCTGTTTTGAAAGAACAGCGGTGCTTTGAAAAAATGGTTTTATATCTCTTTCAAACAATGTGTTTATCAATTTTATCATAGGTTTGTTTGGTGGCCCAGGTGGGCAGAAAAGCAACACTGCTGCTATATTGGCCTTTGGTCTGATCCAGAGGTGGGCTTTGCATGTTTTATCACTGGGACTGGCAGTGCATCTAGAAAGGATCTAGAAATCTACGCTCTAGAAAGGATTTTCTCTTTGTATGTCACCTCCTAGAGACCACTCTGTTGTCCTTGACTTCCAGAGCCACACAAACAGCACTCCTTGTCACATGGCATCTCACACCTGTTGATGCCCACAGAGTGGGGTGTAATGACTTCTCTTTCACAGATTGTTTCAGCTTGGGTGGATAATGGGGTTGCACGGATACAATGGTTAATACTGAGGTTAGATAGGTTTTGTGATGGTGGAGAATCAGACGACGAGTAAGAGAGCGAGAGGTAGTCAGAAGAGCAAAAAAACTCGTGGGGCAGTGGTTAAAACGCTGTACTCAACCTTCCATCCTTCCGAGGTTGGTAAAATGAGTACCCAGCTTGCTGGGGGGGGGGCAATGTGTAGCCTGTATAATTAAATTGTAAACCGCTCAGAGAGTGCTTGTCCCAAAAAAACTGGTAATCTGTCTTCAATACCAAATGAAGATTGTGTCACACCTAATTAACTAATAACACTCTTTCCTTTGGTTGACTCTCTGCCAGGAAAAAGCTTAGGATGCATTTTTGTCTATGTAGAAGGAGAGACGCTAGGATGTGTTGAGAAGGGTTCTTCATTGTTAGAATGATTTAGACCAGTGGTTCTTAACCGCTGGCAATCTGTCTTCAATACCAGATGAAGATTGTGTCACACCTAATTAACTAATAACACTCTTTCCTTTGGTTGACTCTCTGCCAGGAAAAAGCTTAGGATGCATTTTTGTCTATGTAGAAGGAGAGACCCTAGGATGTGTTGGGAGGGGTTCTTCATCGTTAGAATGATTTAGACCTCCCAGTTTCTTTGCGTGATAATGGAACAGAGTGCTAGTAGTCAAAACACTGATAGTCAAAACACTAAGAAAAAGAGAAGAAAACAAAGACATCCTATAGCTTTCCCAAATCTATCAGTACCTGTATCGGTTTCACCAGGACACCTGCCATATTCCAGTCTTCACCACTAGATGCCACTACAGCTCATACTAAAACCAAGGAAGCCTGCGTTGGAGAGATTCCACAGCCAGGCGACGGTTGTGTAGGGTGCCTTTGAGTTGCCGAAGACACGCCTCAAGGCAACCTAAAGACACACTTGGAGAAAGAGGGAATTTGTCCAGAATATATGTTTCAGTGAGGTAACTGTGTTAAGTTCCTTTCAGCGTGCACAAAAATATTAAAAACAAAAGAGTTGTGATATCTCAAGAGACATTGAAAACATATTCAGTTCAGTGTGAGGTTTCATGAGTTAAAGTCCAGTTCTGCAGATGCAAGGAGCATAATAGTCAAACCACGGATTTATATACACAGACAACATAGTGAAGGGGTGAGAACTAAACCAGATTGGGGGGGGAAGGAGGTGACAATCCCATGTCAATGTCAAAATATTACCAATGTCATTGTCATCTGCTTTTCCCTGCCCCACGTGATTCCCACCCTTCTACTATATTCTCTTCATATATAAACCTGAGGCCTAACTATTATGCCTCATGTGTCTGAGGAACGTGATTGTAATCCCACGAAGTTTGCCATGAAATTCATCTGTTAGTCTTTGAGTGCCACAGCTCTATTATTTCTATTTGATTTGTTATACACACACCATGTATGGTTATTGGAGAAATAGCTCATTATTGCCAAGGTCCTCTAAGGATTGTAGCTAAGCTAAGTGAGGCCTGACAAAATAGTACAATTAGATTTTCATTAGAAGCATGGCTCCTTTAATTTGTAAAAGACTGCTTATTCCAATATTAGCTTGCCTCAAACCCCATTTTGTCAGTTAACTCACTTTTATTTTGTACTTGTTCATAATTGGGAGATAAACACATATTTTCTTTGCATGTTCGATTCTCTTCCATATAGGTTTGAAGGATTTACGGGCCTAAACAAAAATTTTGAATTTTTTTTTAAAAAGCATTGTAAGAAAAGGAAATACACATTCCCTAAATATGTGATTGGAACCAGATGAAAAATTAAAGCAGCCGGTTTCTGTGGAATCATGCTGACTGAGGAATTCTGGGAACTTTATCTCAAAACAAAAACAAACAAGCAAATCCCAAACCAAACCCAAGCTTTGCCAAATACCAGTATACATTTCGTATTTCACAATGTAAACATTTTCACGATGTCATTTATACCTGTACAGTCATTTCACCAGTTTCACCAGAGGGTGGTTTCTGTGGCTGCAGTTTCCTTATGCTGGCTCCGTAAGTGCATGATATTTTTCCATTAGTCTTTGCCATGAGAACATCTCTAGATTTCCTGTCACAATTCCATTTGCAAAGGATGTGATTGCTACCAAAACAGAAACAGTGAAGGAATATGCCAGTGTACATTTCCTTACTGATGCAGAGCAATTATGAATAATTAAGATGCTGAACGATGTTGCAGTGTGCCCAGGGAACCAGAATTGGTGGCACAAAAGGCGGAGTTAAAAAAAAACGGTTTCTTTTTGACTCTCCCCTCCTCACATAGAGAGGAGAACTTCATCTTTACTTCCAAAAAAAAGGGGTGGGTGGGGGTGGTTAGGCCAGGTAATCTTTCCAGATGAAAATGTGCCAATACAACTGCCACCTGATGATCCTACTGGTGCAGAGCTCAGAAGAGCTGCTTTTTGGATTACTGTACAACTCACATACTCTGGCATCTGGGAGGTACAACTTTTCTAAGCTCTGCACAGTTATGGAAGGAAATCTAGATGGTATACTTGATAAACACACTTCCACTGTATTGAAATGGTAATATTTATTAGCAAGGAATATGACGTTTTCTCATATCAGACAAAATCTGACACTACTGACCTAAGGAAACCTACAGTTTGACATGACTTAAGACTCCTGTGTTCTTTTGTGCACTTCAAAAATAAATACATTAATTTGCCAATAGGCCAATTCTGAGTTATGGTGACCCTTCTCAGAGTTTCTAGGTACATAATCCTCAGAAGTGGTTTATCGTTAGCTTCTTCTGGGGGCATCCTGGGACTGTGCAGCTTGCCCATGACTACACAGGCTGGCTCTTCTTCTGGGAGGCATGGTGGGGAATCGAAGTCCCACCTTTGACTCCACAGCCAGATACCTAAACCATTCTACAATGTGTAGTGCCCATGATCCGTGGTGACCTCTCTTGTTATATGACATCAAGTTGCCTTGGACATATGGCAACCCTATGAATGAATGATCTCACAAATGGCCTGTTCTTAACAGCCCTCCTTAGCTCTTACAAACCCAACGTTGTGGAATCAATCCATTTTATTAGTCTAGGTAACCAATCTTGGTCTTCCCCTCTTCCAGCAGCCTTCAACTTTTCCTAGCATTATTGTCTTTCCCAGCCAGTGTTTTATTCTCAGGATGTGCCCAAGGTGCAATACTCTAGGTTTTGTCATTTTCATCTCTACAGAGAGTATGTATTTGAATTACTGTACAACCTCTAGCAAGGAGCAAGAAGGTTTATTTGGTTTATATTTGTTTGACAGTTTTGGTTTTGCCTATGACTTTTTGCCTTGCAGCAATAAATACCTGAAATTTATGGTGATTTCACAGTTTTTCAATTGGATTCCAGCCCTCCTCCTCCTCCTCCTCATCGTCTTATTCTAGCACTTTCATTCGCCTTTGGAAGTAAAGAGCAAGAGTGGGTGATCTGGTGTCCTTTGGATGTTTTAAACTAAAAATTTCATAAGCATGATGATGAGAAGCAGAAAAGCAAATATAATTTTGACTTTTCTCCTGTTAAAAAATGTAACTGATGACAGAAATTGGAATCAGTGCTATGTTTGACAAGACCATTTAAAAAAATGTTCCATAGAAAGAGAATAGAAGAGGTGCTCGCTTGAGGAGAATGTTCTGGCTTACTTGTCACATCCTACCCCACTTAATATGCTACTGTCACCTGCTATACCTCCCACTGACCAGACAGATAAGGCAATCATACATGCCAAAAACAGAAACAAAGCAATGTGCAGGCAATGTCCACAAAAATATCATAGCCCTAGTTGGTCAAGCAAAATACATTGAAAGGATCCAGGCTTTCTTGTGATTACATTCACATTGTGTAAAATAATAATCATGTGCCTTCAAATTAATTTTGACTAATGGTGAATCTTTCTTTCAGGGTTTTCCAAATGAAGAATACTCAGATCTGGTTTTCCATTCCCTTCTTCTGGGGGCACCCAGGGACTGTGCAGCTTTCCCAAGGCCACATGGGCTGGCTGTACTCACAGGAGGCACAGTGGGAAATTGCACTCCCAACACTTAAACCACTGTGCTATCCAGACGGCTTTCCAAGGGAAATAACTAGGAATTGGCCATGGTGATTGGAAAAAAAAGGATAAACTATAGCATAGTTGAGCTCCTAGTCTGAATTGCCAATCCACTCCTTCTGTATGTGGATTTGTGGGGAGGAACACTGTGCCGTTCGCCTCAGGAACCAGAATGCCTGGAGCTAGCCCTGCCGAGAGAACCGACTCAGACTCCATGATAGGGAAAGACAAGGAGAGGAAACTTCATGGCACATGAAATGTTCTTTCTTTAATCTGGTTCATTTGAAACAAAATTATTCTCTACAAACTGCAGCATTTTATTCTCTGCAACGTATTCCTCTATCATGTATCTTCGGATTAGGGCAGTAATCTGAAGTCTAATTTTATGAGGGAAAAAAGATAGAAGAAATGTAACAGTAGATAATAATTGATAGTGATAAGTAATTCAACAAGTGCATCTTGTTAGTGCTATAAAACAAAAATATAATAACCACTCATCTTTTGATGAATAATAATTAAAATGAAAGCTGGCAGAAGACTGAAAGTCCTCTCACTCTAATCCTGATATTACGCAAGAACACATCTTCCCGTCTTTGTTTATCTTGGCAAACTGACAAGAGCGCATTTCCCCCCCCCCCAACACAGCTCTTCCATTTACTCAGCTCTTGGTAATCCGTCTGCCGACATGTACGTGTTAATCTACATGTACTTGCATGCATTTTTGCTGCTCTCTCCACTCCTTCTGCCTCCTCAAGAGCTCGCATTATGCTGTTGCTTTGTCATGCAAAGTGGAAGAGCTTCTTTTCTGCCATTGTGACAACTATTGGAAACCAATGGACCTGAACTGAAGAGAAGACTGTTTCTGAACAAGAAACTCTTTGTCATCATTTGTAAGGGCTGCACAGTCTCCCTGTTTACCCCTTCCCTTGCTTGGCTTCACTCTTGTATTGTAAAGGAGCAGGCAACACAGATGGGCTGGGCCAGAACTTGCATAAGTCACTTTTGGAGGGTTGAACAAGTCCAGATTCTGCCATCCAGCTTGGTCCTGCTCGTTAGGGGAGGCCAGGAGTTGCAGGCCAACACAGTAAGATTTCTAAGCTCTGGGACAATTCTGAATGTTTTGTACCCCTCCAGGTTTGATTTCTATGCCTGCGTTGCCATGTTGCTTGTGTCTTAGAGCAGGCATGGGCCATGCATGACTTGACCACCAAACAAATGTTTCACTTCAATCCGAGTTTAAACCATTTCAATCCCTAGTTAAAACAATCAAGAAGCACACCATGACTAGGACAGCTGCAAACCACTACTAGGCACCAGAGACAAGACTTGGCTGGATGGACAGATAGTCTGTTCTGGTTGAAGATGTACAACTCCATCTGCTGTAAGGACTTTGCATATTTTTTTGTTCCTTGGATTAGGCAAATTTATTTATTGGTTAATTTTTCTTGACCATGGCCTATTGTGAGGAGTTTTATGTTGATGTACAGATAAAAGGTTGTTGTTAAATGTTGTGTTGTGTGTTTGTACATTATTGATTTTAATGGAATGCACACTGGGGTTGAGTGCAATATAAATATTATTATATTACTATTAAATAATTATATTTAATTTTGAGGGAGGGACAAAGATATTACAGGAAACTGCTGGATGTATAGAAAGGTTAAGGAGCAGAGTACAGTGGAACTGTAGGAGAACAGTGGGTACACCAATGGGCAACAACCTATGTGATCTTAAAAGATAAATTCAAATGTCCTAAAGCTGTCATTGGCAGCCTACTGCTCATGATAGCTATGTATTACTTCCAGTAAATTTCTGTTGTGTAAGGAGGTATTATTGCACTGATGTCCTCTTTGCAGGCTCCCATTTGTGGCATGTGCTCAATCCCAGTGGAAAGAGAATGTTGGGCTACTGAGGCCTTTGGTCTGATTCAGCAAAGTTATTTTTCTATTCTTATGGTGGGGAGGAAAAAGCTTAATTGTGGCGCAGTGGTTAAACTGCTGTACTGCAGTTAAAACTGTGCTCACAACCCAGGGTTCAATCCCAGGTAATGGCTCAAGGTTGACTCGGCCTTCTATCCTTCCGAGGTCGGTAAAATGAGCATCCAGCTTGCTGGGGGGGGGGCAATGTGTAGCCTGCATAATCAACTTGTAAACCGCCCAGAGAGTGCTTGAAGCGCTATGGGGCGGTATATAAGCAGCACGCTTTGCTTTTTGCTTTGCTTTAATTAATGGTCCCCATTCTGTTATATCCATAAACAAAATGGTTAAAATTGTACAAAAAAGTTATAATTTCCTAAATTGTTTAATAATTAATTAAGGATTATAATTGTTGCATTGCCACCATGATCATCATTCTTTTTGTTTCTTTGGCCTTCAAAACAAGAGATTAGATTTTGCATGAGGTGAAGGGGGAAAAAACCAAGGTAACTTTACTGAAGACCCATACATTGTGCATCACTTTTGATTTATTTTGTTGCTGTTGTGACTGAATACTTGTTTTTATGCTCTGTTCAATGATTTCCAACTTCTAATGGCTCCATGTAGGTAAGATGTTGGAAGACTAGTTAACCACTATAATCTCCAATTAGGTTTCTATGGATAAATGAGAATTTGGATCCAGTTGTTCTGAGTTCTAGTGTGACACTTCATCCATGATGCCACTTTGGCTAGCTAGCAGCACTTAGAACTGCAGTGTGCCATAACATCTCTTCTAAAGAGGAACAGGGTGTGGCCATAGATGATTCTGCCTTAGAATGGTATCATGAGTCCAGGGCTAGGCCCTTACAAAGCTCCCTTGGAATAATCATCACCTCTCATAGCCTTTCATTGTCTCTGAAGGGCTTGTTCCTCTCACTCAGACTTTTACGGATTCACTCCTCCACAGTGTCATATATTTGCATTCAGTTTTCCTTCCAGTGGGAGGACAAGTGTAAGAAATGATGTGTTGGTGGGGATAATATAACATTTTTTAATTCTGCTCTGATTTTTATTTTGAAAGGTTCAGAGTCGACAGGGGAATTATGGACCTATTTCTGTGCCCACACTCTAGCTGTTTATGAAAAACTTAATTTGTTGCAGAGTTTTGATTTTCTGGTAAAAAATAAATTTGCTATGCAGAAGAAGTATAGAGACCCTCCCCTCCCCAGAGCAGAATAGCTACAAGTTCTCCAGAGTCCACCTCTTTCTCATTAACTGGCACTTAAAGTCTCAAAAACACACTCAGAGACACCTGTAAGAGAAAGAATAACAAACATTTTTTACTTACAGTTGTTTGATATTACAGACTTGTGTATACTGTACTGCTTTCTTTACTGCACGCATATTTAGTAACCAACCAAATGGATCAGCAGCAACAAACAACTGCCCCCCCCAAAAAAAAACAAAGGAGAGGGAAAAGAATACTCATTAGAGAGGCAGGGCTCACTTCAAAATCAAAGGCTGTAAGGAATGATTGGTTGGTGCTGGATCGACAATCACTCGAGCCCAGAAAAGATCCTCCGAGGAAAACTATTGGCAGCATGCAAGGTTCCAAATAAACCATCAATTTACAGCCCAAAATTTACAACCCAACTTTGCCAGCTGTTCTGCAAAATGCTACAATTTGATGATAACATGAATGGTCAGAATTGCCCAGAATTAGTCTGACATTATTTAAGAACTTGAAGAACTACATGGTTTATTGGTATCTGTCAAGAAAGATCATCCTTCTGTGTTTACTGGCTATGGCTGGGTGGTTGGGGGGGTGTACACGTGCAAGAATATACACACTCATGTGATTTGCTTCTCTTAAAGGGGAAAGGACACTAGAAACATATATTATGGAGACTTTGAAGGGAAAAGAAGATAATTTGTTCCAACTCTTGACTTGAAATGAAGGATTTCATAAGGTTTCAAGGTGTCTTGAAACGGCAAACAAAACAGATAAAAATTAAGAATTAATTTTTCCCATCCTAGTAAGCAGACATATAAACCATATTTATAATTCATGTTGGCACAAAGCATTTTTGTACTGCACTATGCAAAACTAATGCTTCAGTGTTTCTTTAGTTATTAAAATGATTTCTATTATGTTTCTTATAAAATAATGCTCAAGGCTGCTTGACAATATATTTTAAAAACACAGTAAAACACTGATAAGCAATTACAGTATAATGAAAAACAAGATGAATTTCTCGTGACATTGCAAGAGATCCTGGGTTACACCTAGCTATGGATGACTCACTTTTAGATCTGGTAAAATATAAACTCACAAAGCTGATTTATACTAGGTCAGATTATCGGTCCTCCATCTGGCTTGGTAGTGTTCAAACCTGACTTCAAGCAAGAACCTTTCCCGCACTTATGTGGTGATGAGAACAGAAAAAACATTATAAGAGCCTTGTGGGATCAGGGTGAGTGCCTATCTCGTCCAGCATCTTGCTTCCTGTTGTGGCCAACCAGATATCTATGGAAACCTTCAAGCAGAAAATCGGGGGGGGGGGTGTGGAGGGCGTTGTCCTCAAAGGCTATTGCTCCTGAGCAATGATTGTTCAGAGACACACTACCTCTGATCCTGCAGGTAATAGAAAGCCACCTTACATGTAAGTCCATCACAGTTTCTCACTCATGACTTTAAAGACGCTGGTGAAGTCCTTGCATTTTAGGAAGCAGCTCCAGGAAAGACCACAATTAAAGAATTAGCTTTTCCAGTCTCAAGAAAACTCGCACCCAAGCCTCAATGGCATAAACCTACCTGGTAGCACCCAGCTTACTTACTTAAAAATCCCAAAGGAAAACAGAGCCTGGTAACATGCCAGCAATTTTAATAAACAAGGCACACAAACCACAGGGCAGCTGCTGTTGAGCAGAACTAAGTCAGGCAATGCTATACATGAACTCC